TCATTTATCTCGTTGCGACTCTTCTGTAAATTGAAACTTGAATGGATTGCAATTACTTCAACCAAAAGACAGAACAAAGACAAAGACAAATACTAACTTGAAAATCGCAACGAGAGAATAGCAACGCGAAATGAAAATCGCAACAAGAGAATCGTAACGCGAAATGAAATCTAAGTGAAATGGTTAATCTATTATTGAAATGACCAGTAAAACTTATCATCAGTTTCAATATGAAAAACCTACAATAATGCAAAAATTTCAAAATAAAATAATTAAAAAAACTAACCCTCGGAGGTGATTTTCCATTTCTGAATATTGTGAGGGATTTCTGACCGTGAATGGTTGTGAGGGATTCGTCGGAGATGGGGACGGAAATCTTCGGAGATGGGACGGATTTCGCCGTAGAGAGTGAGAGATGGAGATGGGACTGAGTTGTGATTTTAGGTTTTAGGTTATGAGTTGCGATTACGGGATTTTGTCTTAATATTCGTTTTTGTAATTTGAAATTAAAATACGCGTAGCGATTATAATGGCGCTTTAAAAATCGCGTTGCGATTTACGGATACGCGTTGCGATTTTACGTATTGTCGTTGCGATTTACGGATACGCGTTGCGATATACGGATACGCATTGCGATTTACGGATATGCGTTGCGATTTACGGATACACGTTGCGATTTACGGATACGCGTTGCGATTTATGTGTTCGCGTTGCGATTTTCATATTCGCGTTGCGATTCTGTAAAATCGCAATGCGAATTTGTACTATCGCATTGCGATTTTCAAGAATCGCGTTGCGATTTTGGAAACTGATTTGCGATTCTGGGGATCGCGTTGCGATTTTTATTTCGCGTTGCGATTTTGTTGGTCATTTTGGCAAATCCAAAAAAAGTTGGTTAAAATCGTATATTATAAGGCATTTTTAGTCACTGAGGCGATTTTCTCATAAAAAAAACTAATATTAAATGTCATTTGAATTTCTTAAATTTTGAGCGTTACAATGATAATCGCACTTACTGAATTAAAAAATCTTATAAACTAATAAATTAATTATTAAATTTTAAATATTGAAATTAAATTATAAATTTTATTTGATATTTTATTTAGAATTAAATATATTGTTTGATATATATAAAAAGATTTATATATAATTTTATTAATTATCAAACATGTTAAAGGAATTGTTGTTATTCCTAGATGTTACGGGTTTGAACACCAGTGACTGCAATAGGGTAATTTAGTGTTCATTATCAAATGGTTGAGAGTATTTAAAACCGATATCACTTTGTAATCACTTTAGCTTAATAAAAAAATAAATTAAATCATTAATTACTAATTTATTAATTCTTTTTTCAATAAATCATTAAATAGATTCTAATTCTTTGTTGACAATTCTTTAATAGATGTTTTGCATCCACCCCTAATAATTTTGCAAATTAATCAATTTGAGTGTGGAAAATATTATATGATTTAACTACTTAAGATTACAGACCTTTACAGGTTGGCCCATTTGGAGATGTTGGATTGACTCAATTATTAATTATAAGCCATTAGGCATTAGGGTACTTGACGAGTTGACCTAATTTTCTATTCTTTACATTATTTTCTTATGTACTATGATTATATTTAAGGTGTGTTTGGGTATTTTAGAGCAATAATATGTAATTATTAGGACAATAAGTGTCACATTCTAAATTCAATTGTCACACCTCGTGTCTAGGGTTAGAAGTTTCGAAATTAAATTGTATCCGGTTAAGTGAAAATTCAAATTGCAGAGTAATTTGGGAAAATTCAGAAATTGAGGATATATGCTTGGATTCTATGAAGTTTGGCTCTATTTTGGAAATCTTAAAAAGTCGGGTGGCTTGTTTGGTAAATTAACCATTTTTAGTTATAAGTCTGATTTCAAACCCAAATGGGGATATTCTGTGACTGCTCAAGATATTCTAAAAAACCTCGATTTTTAGTTAGTTACGGCCACCATGAACCAATCCTCCATCTTCATTCAACCATCTGTTCGTGAGCCGAGCCTCTCTAGTCTGATTGAGCACCGACCGGTGTAACCTCGCCCTTGCGTACCATTCGTCTGCCCAGGTCTCTATTTCTCCCATCATGTATCATCCGTGGCCAGTCTTTTGAAACCATAAACATTGCATCATCGTTGCTACCTTACTCCAGCAATTTGTCTGATGAATCACGCGTATAACTTTGGGTAAGACCAGGTTCAATTCGTTTTGTTCTAAGAACAATAAACGTATGCTGTTGTTGAGTTAAGTCTATACTAACTTGCTTCGTTGTAATCGTCCTTGTCATTATATCGTCGTTCTGCAATCTACAGATCGGTCACCATCTGTTTATAATTGTTGGAACCCCACATTAATTACCATATTCCTTAATTTGTAAACAGAATATTGGTGAATACCTCTGCCTGGTGAAACGTGTAACCCACCCCCAATTGCCATATTTCTTTATTTGTAAATTAAACTTTGGTGGGATACTTTTGCCCAGTAAAACATGTAATTGGGAGTAAGGAAATAAATAATATTATTTCTTTTATTCATTTGGTAAGGTACCCTTTAGATTTCGGATATATATATTCTGTGATTTTGTTTATAACAGAAAGTTGTTTATTATTATTATCTTACAATAATAAAGGTAGTAAATATGGTAGCATGCATGTCAGCCTTTAGTGCGGCTTAGTTTGACACGATCTGCTATGAGCTTGTATCCGGATTAAACTCGCACTTTTATAAACATGTGATCTGAACTATAATGCCTTCGTTTGAAATTTCTCCCGTTTGATCAAATTGTTTGCCGTACTGCTTTCCGGTAGGTTTAGATCATCTCGTTTGGCTCAATTTGATTTCGTATATTCGACTCGAGATATATTCCCATCTCACAGGTCCTAGTGCTACTGATCGTGAGAAACATAGGGTTTAATTAGTATCGTTTAACTGGTATAGGTGTGTCCTTTGACTTGTTTGATATATTTAGCATGTTATGTTATATGTTGTTATCTGTAACTATGTTCGTGAACTGAGTATATGTGTGTTTGTATGTGTGATGTATATAACTTCTGAATATTGTTACATCACCTTTTATTTGTATGTTGAGGCATTCCTAATACCCGCATGGGATGCTCTACGAAGATCAAAATTCTCGTCTTGATTCTGTAAAGGATTTGTTCCCCAATCGATATGTTCTACATGGAATTTGTTCCCGTTCTGTTTCTTTTTAGGATTCTCTATGGAGGGTAATATCCCCATTCTATTTCTGATTTTCCTCTTCCAAGGGCAACCCCATTCTGATTTTTGTTTTCCACTCTGGATATACTTTAAAGATTTCAGGTTTTCTTCCGAGGGTAACATGATATAATACTAATATAATTTTAGTCTTTAAAATTTATAATTCAAAGTTTAAGAATCAAAACCGAAATGAAAAAATAGGCGTTGACTAATATATAGTGTTTAGATGAACTTTCGAAATCTATGAAAATCAATCAAGCCTCTAAGTTTGACTAAACTAATTAATTAACCTTCCACATGAATTGACATAATAATATAGGACTACTATATTAATATAATTAACTGTCACATTAACATTATCACAACAGTTAAATACGATTTCTATCAATTAAAAAACAATATTAAAAAATCTTAAGATTAATTAATATACTTAGAAACAAAGGAAAACATCACTAATCGAGAGGATAGGGGTGTTCAAACGGTTAATTCAGCTACGACCGAATCAAATTTCTATTAACCGAATAGTCGAATTTTTTTCTTATCCTTAACCGAACCTAACTCTTTTTTGAAAATTAACCAATCGAACAAAGTTATGTTATTTCGGTTGGTTACTTAATTAGCCCATTTTTTAAATATTTTCATAATTATATTTAAATACAATAAAGGTATTTTTTTATTCGCGTTAAAATTTAATTAGGTATTGATAATTTAATCAGTTGGTAGAGCACAAGGTTCTTACCTTGAGGTCGTGGGATCGAGTCCCACGGAGGGCATTTCATAATTCGAGGTCTTCTACGGAAGCTGCTTTCAACCTGGTGTTGGGGGCAGCCTACTATCTTACCTCCCCCTTACCCCATTAGATATGGGAACAAGGCCAACCATTTTTGAAATGACCATCCAGCTCAGTTGGTAGAGCACAAGGTTCTTAACCTTGAGGTCGTGGGATCGAGTCCCACGAGGGCATTTCATAATTCGAAGGTATATTACGGAAGCTTCTCTCATGAGGTTGAGCTTAAAATATGTGTTTAATATTATATATTAATTTAGTATTTAAAAATTCCAGTTAATTCGACTAATTAATCAATCTCGAACCGAATTAATCGTTATTGAATATTGAAAAAATTAACCGTTCTCCAACTGAACTAATTCGATGACCCGTCGAATTAACCGAACTAATTGATTTAGTCGGTTAATTCAATTAAAATCGAAAAATAAACCCCATAAAGAGGATTATGAAAGTAAAATAATTTCTTAAACTAAAAACGAGATTGATACTGCGTTGTACATCAATAGCAAAGTTAGATACCAAAGTATGGTATAGATTTTGCTCTGGTACTCATCTTATTGTCTGCCCAGTTGCTTTGTGGATGGTATCATTATACAGATACTTTGCCAGTCAGAAATATAATTTGGCTAACCAACCAAAAGAGCCAATGGTTTTGGCCAGTTGTATTAGGAAAACTACACATCAAGTTTCAGTGATTATTATAATTGAACTATGTACTGTCAACCTGCATTGTCCCCAGTATAATATTCCTCATCTTCTCCAAGTTCAAATAATGAATTCTGAAAATTGGTCAACATCTTTATTTATCATTTTTAAAGTTGATTTAAACTATGAACAAGGCAACTAAAAAGAAAAGCACTCCAAAATGTACAAGATGTTCAAATTATATATCAACATTAACAAGCTTTGGCAGGCTCATCCTCATTCTCGGGAACAAAATGCATAAATTCACATATAATGGAATTATAATAAATACAGGGAGGGGAGAACTTAAAAATAAGAGCTTAGACAGAACACCGTACCGGTCAAATCGACCACGGCCTCTTCCACAAGCTCTTGTAGCAACTTCCCTCCTATCTCACTTCCTAAGTTATCTGTTTCCGATTTCATTTGGTCGACCCACCCTTTACCCACCACTTCCTTCTGCACCACCCTTTCGACCACCAGGCTGTTGCTGTCCTCATCACCATCATCGTCATCCACCAAACGATTACTGTCGCCGGAAATCCATTCCTTAATTTGGGAACATACATGGTTCTCCAGTGATGATGATAAACTCTCCATGTCCCTTACATGCATGGACCAGCCCGATGACATGTTTCTCATGCAACTGCTCGATCCATAACCTGTGATTTCCAGTACTGCTGCATTGACGCAGTCGACTACGAGCTTCCTGTTTGATCTCCATTGTCGTAGCTTAGCCTCATGCAGATGCTCCTTGTCATTCGAGTTGGCATATTTTTCTCTCGAGGACGGGTCCAATGGACTTTCGGGTGAATGCAATCTGACAATACATGACTCAAAGCACACTTTGCCATTGAGGCCAGCAGCTGATAACAGTGATTGGACAGAGAAAATCCAATCCTGTTCTTTCTCGAGACCTGAGGAAACCTTCGAGGGTTTTGATGAATTTATTGTGGTGTCTCCGAACAAGAATCATCCTGTGAGAGGGTGCGAGCAATGATTCTATAGGTGGTGACTTGTCAATCAAGTTAGACTTGGGTGGCACCTCCACTCCTGTATTAATAAATGAAAAATAGATTAGGGAAATAAAAATCAAACAGAGTTCCAATTTAATAAGTGAAATTCACCTTGGTGCACTGGTTTGATACTGCCCGAGGACTCTGGACTTGTGTTCTCATCCTCAACAAATAGAGGTTCCAAAACTGAGATAGGGCTAGGCTGGTCCTGATTCTCACTTAAACGGACAAGAATTGAAGGCTTTGCTACAGACAATCCTCCCTACAAAAGATACCAACAGTATTGATAAATGATCAACTCGGACAAATTTAGAAGACAAAATATGTGATAACAAGTTCAATCCACAGAATCTACATTTTATGGCTTCTGTCAGCTCGTAAATTTTGGTGCTGACTTCTTAAGTTGACTTAAGCGTATGACTGATAATTTTCATAGCCTAGAACAATTGATAAATAGAAAATAAACATCGCTCTTTAAGTCTTATAAATGAGATTAATCCTTTAGTTTTTTTTAATCATCAATGATGGAGACTTTTCCATTTTGTTCAAGCCGATGAAGACATTATTACACTATCTAAACTGGATGCAGACATTAGATAAATATATGCATTACCAGAAAACTTAAGGAAGTTAGAAGTACCTCCACAGCAGTCATGCCTCGTTTCTGTCCCATGCCAGTCAAATCTGGTGAAGGGTTTACTAACTGATCGGCCTAGAACAGGAGGCAAACACACTTGGTTGCAATTGTCTTTAATGCGCTGAGGTGCATCATTGTTAATCTTTTGAGGATGACTTATGGGTGATCCCAGTGTTCCAGGAGTTGTAGATGGTGATTCTTCAGCTGTTTGAGATCCAGTACATTTTTCTTTATTCGTTTTCTTATTCTTTGAGAAAAATAAACTTGAAACCTTCCCCTTTAAAGATGATTTCATGCTCTTTGCCTTTATCAGTTCCTTCGGAACTTGTTCTTTGCTAGATTCAGGATCTGATAACTCAATATTAAGCCTTTCAACGTATGCAGTGGAGGACACAGGAACAGATTTTGACCTGAGAAGATTTTTGGGAGAATCAATTTTATTTTCTTCTTTGTTCAAATTACTAGCTATGCAGGAAGCTGATCCCCTTGGTTCTTGTTCCTTATTACTTCCCTCTTCTTCAGATCTCACCAACTTCTTTGTATCAGAAAGTGCAAGCATCTCACCCAATGTGCTTGAGCTTCTCCTGACATGTCTTTGTTCTTGAGAATTCCCATTTGATGCCATCATGGCCCATCTTTCCGAAAGCCGTTCTTTGCTTCCCGGCAAACTGAGGACTCGGGAGAACATGATGCGTGGCTGAAGGAAGAGGAAGAATAAGGGCTACTAAACCTATTGATGTAATCCAATGAATGTCTAGAAGTTGGTGATTCGACTTCCGAATCACTGAGGACTTCACACAGCTCATTTTCAGATCTATCAAGTGAACTATCATCACCGGCATAACCATTGGAGAACACAGAAGAAAGTAATGTTTCATCCCTTCTGTGACCTATCAGATTTTCACGCAGCTGCCTAGTGATTTCCTTTGCTACTTCTCTTGGTTCTTGTGCATCATCAACTTCAGGTTCCTTAAAAAAATCATCACCAAGCAATATCCTAGGTGATGAGGGAGATGGAGATGCCCCAGTCTTATTGTCCTGAGACTTTCCAGGGCTGGGCTTCAATACTACTATTCTAGTTGGTTGGGAAGGATATTCATCAACTTCCGGACCGGGGAAAGGAAGATCAAATGATTCGTTCTTTCTATCCCACACAGTTCCGTGACCCATCCAAACTGGTTTCTTTGTCTGTTTATCATCGCTCCCTATTCCAGCAAAATTTCATTTTCAATCATCTTAGGTCTAAGAACAGTGATACGCATTTTCTCAGGAGGTTGAGATAAAGACTGGAAACCGTTGTGATGCTGAGATAGCTTGGAATTTGGCTCTTCCAGAAACTTGAGGAATAACTCTCTATTGGAACTCAAAACTTCCAGTGCTTCTTGGAATTCCTTGGTTTGGCGAAGCTTTCATCTGTCACCAGATGCTTTGCTTCCATAAACTTCCGACGAACTAATGCCATTTTTTTCTCATTCACTTTATCTTTATACTTCCCCTTTTGTGGAGAGCTCTCTTGATAGGTTGCCCTTGGGGACTGTAGCCGGTTTCATGAACATCTATGTATTTGTTCAGCTCTTGACAAGGGTTTATTTCACCTAGCACCTCCTTGTCTGCAAAGCCTTGATCTTGCTCCCAGCCTTCCACTGGCGTATCAGAATGACTTGAAGATTGCTGAGGAAACCTTTAGAATGGCATCTTTGTGCAGATAAATTATGTTGTCGCCTTGGTAGTGTATCAAGTCCCATCAGCTTGGCAACCAAATTGGGTGGGTTATGCTTAGACGCCACTTCTTTTAGCATTTCCCGGGCTATGAGCATCTTCATGGGTGTTCCATTTCCTTTTTTATCTGAGAAAACTAGCTTTAATTCCGATGAAGTCTGCAGGAACCAAAATTGCAACACAGGTCAGGACACAAGGATATTTAAAGTAAAATTCAAGTGGAAGATACGGAGACAAATTCTGCTCAGAATCTGTTTTCAACTTGTTTATAATAATTACTATTGCAGAGACTTAACACCAGTTTTGTACCACTTTGTCTTCTATCTGATGATTCTGATCTCCAAAGGTGGTCCCAACATCCTTGCTACACCAGGTTGACTCCTTGAGAGTGAAGAACCTGCTCGTGAACCAGCAACATTTCAAAAATAGCAAGATAAATATAATTGAGTCGTAGATAACAAAAAATACCAGCAAGCAATATAGGTTGATGTATAAGATTGAATATGAAAGTTCTTTTAAGGGGAAATACTGTTCAACTTGAAAAATATCTGTGAACTGACACCATAAACATAGAAAGACAAAGAAAAGGCAAGCATCAGCACTTAAGGTAATCAACATGAACTAAAACAACAAACCTCCAGTATCAGAATAAAATTTCATAATCTTAAACCATTTTAAAAACTTCCAAAGTTTTGTAAGAAAATTTAAAGGCATTTATAGTAGTTATTTTTCCCAACTGTTATTTTACAAGGTTCTCAAATTGCTTCAAGTATCAAGGGGGAAAAAAGAAAAGAACTGAAAGTGCATTGAATTGAATTGAAGAAAAAAATATTGAAACAAATGCTGATCATAGGAACAATTAATCAGATCAACAAGACTGAGAAATAACTCTCTCCATATTATACCGATATCCAGAAAACAAAACAAACTTCAATGTAGATGAAAACCAAAACTAGTTTTTTCATGAAAAGGAGATCACCATCATGTTGTTTATCAGTAAGCAGGCGGTTTCCAGGAACACAAGTATTCAAATCAAACAGGTTTACCATCCTGCCCAAGCATCCTGGAAATTTCTCAATATTATGAACTCTCTTGTTCTCAAACCCATTCATTTCAACACCTGTTAACCACACAAATAAAACCCCATATTAATTTCCAAAGATATTCCCCTACAAAATACATAGAAAGAATAGCAAAATCGACAGAGGAAAAGTGAAAATATCAAATTAAATCTGCAAATTAGTTTAATGAGAGTGCACCTAACAGAATAAATTTCAAAGGAAAAATACAAATTCAAACAACAAAATAACAACAAAGAGGACTCAAAATAATGAAATTGTAGGGATTTTTGTATTCCTATCCCAAGTCAAAACCAGCTAAAAATACAATACTCTGCAAGTCAAACAAGCTATTTTCTTGACCGATCAAATTCCATACAGGTTAAAGTGTCAACCCAAGAATCCCCGAACACGAATAGCAAAGACATGGAGGCTTCAAAGCAAAGAAGAGAAAAGTAACATGATTTTGAAGGGATAATGATAATAAAAGAGAATGTGAACAAGACAAGTCTAATATACTCGAAGGGAGAAAAAATCAGAAAATATTCTCCTTTTCTCAAATCAAATGTTGCTCACATCACACGTCGCTATTAGCTCTGAACAAAAACTGCAAAGTGGTATTTACTTTTAAAAACAAGAGGGAAAGATGACAAATTTTTATCATTCTAAATGAAGTACATAAATTGAACTTTCAGATCAAAACAAAAAAATGTCGAATCAAAACGGAAGAATCTACATTTCTATTTTTTGTAAATAGCTACAAAAACAATTAATTTACCGCGGGAATTTAAAAAAAATAGAGAAAGCAAATTGGATTTCATCTTGCAGTCACATTTCCTCGAGAATTAATAAAATTATTCGATGTAAAATAGATCGGAAGAAGAACGCCAGAAAGCATTGAAACTAAAACTGCTCCATAGCTCTCCCTAGAAAACCAGCACTAATGGAAACGCTGTCGTTTCCGTTGGGTTTAGAGGCAAACATTAGTTTACATAGAGAGAGAAAGAGACATTCCTGTTTACCAGAATCTGACATCAGGTGAAATATGACCGAAAATTCGCCGGACTCTAACTACCACGCCGGCGGTTTGTGGCGGTGATTCCGTAAAGTGCTTTCGAATAGAAAAGCTTTGCGAGCAAGTAGATAAGAGGGGAGAGAGAGAGAGAGAGAGAGAGAGAGAGAGAGAAATAGGTGATTTTGGTGTTTAGTTAAGCTTATTTGGTTATGGAGGACTTAGTGTCGGACTCCAAATATATTATTTCATTCTGATTAATTTATGTTTTTTCACTTTCGATTACGGAAGCGAGCTCGAAAGAAGCAAAGGGAGAAGACAGAGTGGAAGGACGTTAAATATATATTAAAAATTACTATTAAAATAATATTCAAATGATACTTTTTAATCAAAGTATTCTCTACATAAAAACTATTTATAATTTAATTTTTTGTGATTTGTTTATTGTGAATGTTTTAAAATATTTACGGTTTAAAGATTTAAAATTACTTTTTTACGATAAAATATAAAAATATATA